AGCAATGTTGGGTCCTAGGGGGTCATGCAGTCTTGGCAGCCGGTACCACTTTGGTCTCATCAAGTGAAACCTTGGTGGGTGGTACCCATTGTCCACCTGGTAGTCATAGTAAACGGAAGTGTGATTCACTTTGGGCAGATGCTTGTGAGGATCATGCTTCCGGTTTACATACTTCTGCATAGCCTTTTTAGTTGGGTAGAAGTCCCATATACTATCAAGATCAGAGGGGCGATTAACTTTGGGCTTCTTAAGTTGACCAGCCAACCTTTTCTGCCTAAAGTTAACTTTCTCTTGATATCTGCCTTTCTGGTGATCATCTCTGACACGATTATCATGAGTTTGTCTGTTATGGGTTTGTCTTTGATTTTTGGTATTCTGAAAACCTTTTCTGTTGTTAGGTTTTCTGCCAGGTTCATTAATTTTTAAAATGGGTTTCTGTTGAACCTTTATCTTTTCCTTTTCTGGTCTGACATTCTCATGAATAACCTTAGTGCCAGATACACCAGCCTGACAAATGGGGCTAGAAATCAGTGGCACTATGACCTTGTCTGCCTTAGCAACTCTGGTGCTAGGCATTACAGAAGGCTCACTTGATTCTGTTGAGCCATAACCAAGACCAAAACCAGTGCCAATTTGTTGGTCAAGTACAATCTTTTCCATGGAAGACTGGGCCTTCTGGTAAGCTTTGTACTTAATCTCAAGAGGCTCTATCTCTCTTATTCTCTTTAGAAGAGAAACATTTTCAGCTTCCAGCTGATCTCTTTCCTTAATTAGAAGATTGATTTTGATCTCAACCTCCTTTCTTAAGTCAAGAATTTCAACCTTGAGCTTACTGTTTTCTTCTTTAACAGAAGAATAAGTGGTTTGAATGGCTTGAAACTCTTCCCAAAATTCTGACATTGAATCAGAATCAAAGGTTCTGCCTACCGAAGAAAAACTAGAGTTGGAAGTAGAAGATACCTCATCATCATATTGACCCATAAGGCATAGGTCTTCAGTCTCTGTATCCAGGCAACAGAATGCTTCATCAGATTCTGATTCCGAGCTGGACTCTGTCTCAGAGAGGGGGTCCTTCTCTGGTTGTTCAGTGATGAGTGCCTTCCTTCTTCGGTGCTCATATTTCTTTTCTCCTTCCTGGCCTTGCCTTTTGGAGACTATGGGGTGTGGACAGTTGACTTTGAAGTGCCCTGGTTGTCTGCAGTTGTAGCAGAGAAGCTCTCCACTACTTTCTGATGGTTTGGACTTCTGGTGTGGCTTTCTGCTAGAATGTGGACTTCTGCTATCCTTCGGCTTCAAGAATTTCCTGAACTTCCTAGCAAAAGCCGCCATATACTCGTCAGTTAAAAGAATAGAATGGTCAAAATTATTTACCTGGGAGGTGCTGGCAGTGAGGGCAGTAGTTGTTCTGTCCTCAACTTCTTCTTTCTCTTCTTCATTCATCTCAAACTCATAAGACTTGAGATCAGAGATGAGTTTCTCAGTGTTGTAGGTTCTGAGATCCTTGCTATCTCTCATGGCAGTGACCTTCATCTTCCATGGTGAAGGTAGACCTCTGAGAACCTTCAAGTTGATCTCCTTGGGAGTAAGTTCCTTCCCAAGTTCTGATATCTCAGCAGTGAGGGTGAGCAAGCGTGCATACATCTCAGTTATGCATTCTTTGGGTAGAAGTTTGAAATCTTCAAACTTCTTCATGGCAATAGTAAGTTTGTTATCCTTTTCTTGCTCATCTCCAGCTCCTATCAGGGTAAGAGTATCCCAGATTTCCTTGGCAGATTTGCACTTCTTGATTCTTGTGAAATACTTGTCATCAATGGCTTTGTAGAGAATATCCTTGGCAATGTTGTCAAGGTTGTACTTCCTCCTCTCTTCATTTGGCCATTCATGGCGTAGTTTGGTGATCATCTGGGGTTGACCACTACCAGTGATGTATTCAGGGTTGACCTTGGTGAACTCTGTGAAAGGTCCTGCATCAAGAACTTCCCACATTTCATCATGGAGAGCGCAGAGGTGAGCTTTCATGCGGATCCTCCAGTCATCAAACTTTGTCACTGAGAACATAAGATTCTTTGAAAGAGTGTTATCCATAATATGAGATTAAAGAGGCTAAAACAAGTGGATCTCTTGTTTAGTAAGTAACCTAAAAGATTACAAGAACAAGGAGGCTCTGATACCACTCGTTGGTCCCGTTTGTAATGGAATCAGTCTAGAGGGGGGGGGGGGGGTGAATAGACTGTTTAGGAATTTAAACTTTTCTCTAAGTCAAGTCTGACTTAACAGAGATGGTCTAAATCTGGTGACAGAGATGGTCAAGTTCTGATGGCAGAACTAGACCAGGCAGCGGATAAGTTTCTGTCCGGGTAGCCTCTAGAAGAAAACTAAGGCAAAATGCCTTTCTGATAACTCTGAAGGAAGATCTGCTGGACACAGAGTCCAACCTTAAGAGTTAGTCAGTAGAATCTTAAGTGCAGGAATTAAAAGCTTAAAGTAAATGACACCGGGGTTTTTATAGTGGTTCAAGGAACAACTTGTTCCTCTAATCCACTGTTCCACTAAGCTTGCAAAAACAACAGTTTACAACGCCTTAGTTCCTAGATCTTAAGAAGCACTCCTCGTCTTCTTCAAGTCTAGTTGCCACCCGGGATGCAGTCTAGCTTCCTGATGGCTGGTCTCGTTTCACTGAGTCTCTTGAAGTATCCCCACTTCACTTACTCCAGCTAGTTTGAGACGTCCCTTCTTTTTCAAGAAGTGTTTGATATAAAATCAGTTTTCTCCAACGTTGCTTCTTCACAAAGGATGAGTATATGAAGCTCTCGAAGTGTTGAAGAACTGAGTAACTTTGCAGTTTGCTAGTTGGATGAAGGATAGGAAAGTATATCTTCCAACTGGAGCCTTTTCTTGTCTAAGAATGAAGTTTGAATCTCAAGAAGGTTGTTTACGCAAAGTTATCTTGGCAAAGTTATTTTCTTAGTTCTTCAGAGTGTATCTTATATACTGGGAGCAGTCTTCCCGTTGGAGTGTAGAAGACAGCTTCATTAATTGCATGTACTGTTGACTTGACCGGTTGGACCTTCGACTTGCTATTTTGGGGGCGTAAAGATACTCGCATGGTCAATCATCAGCTTTAAATATCTCTTCGTACGTACAGCATTAAATGTGCATTTAATGCGTGTACAGTGCCATGTTTCCGTTGAAAGGTTCGTAACCGTTAGGGGATTTCCCGTTAGTTTAACGACCGTTGGAAAGGCTTCCGGAATCTGGTGGATTTAGCAGAGTCAAAAGAGGTTCTCTGGTCCAATCTCTGAAGTCCGTCTCTGTTGCCAACTCTGGTATCTTTCTGATGACCAGTTTCTGATGACTTCTCTGGTGAGCAACTCTGAGAGCAACTCTGGTAGAGGCAGGATGGAACTCTGGTAGACAGACTAAGCTAAAACTTACAAAAGAAATTCTAATACACAATTTCTAATGGGGTACTATCAAATTCTAATTAACCTAGCATCATCAAAATCTAAATACATTAATTCCTTACAATTTTGATCTTCTAAATACTTTTGTATAGAAATATATAATCTATCAAACCCTAACATATTTGTGAAAAAGTAAAAATAAAGGTTTTTTCCTGGAATATTACCAAATTGAAGCTAATTTCCAAAAACTTGACCATTTTTACAAAAGGTAAAAAATGTGACTAAGAAGGTCACATATATGGAAAAATATGATGTCGCTGTCATTTTTTGTCACTGTTGGATTTTTATGGCACTTCCAAATTTTATGTCACTTTTGAAATGTCACGACCGGTTTTCATGTCACTTTCAGATATCATAGTCACCGGGAAACGTGTCACTGTGTCACTAGAAAATTATCCGGCGACGTTTCCCGGCCAAAATGTTATACAACCTCCATCGTTTTTGCTCCGGAAACCGTGACCCCGCCGCCTCGACACCACCGCCATCCCGTGAGACAGCCTACGACCCCTTACCCAGCCCGTCCCCTGCTCCCCTAGCCCCCTCCCAGGATCCCAGCCCCATCCACTGCCCACCCCACCACCTAGCCCCTGCCCCCGCACCGCTCAGCCCCCATCACCTGACCCACCCCAATGCCACCCAACGACGCCCATTAAATTGCCCTAGCCCTCTGCCCCCTCTGCGACTCGCTGCAGCCCCAACAACCACAGACCTGCCTCGCCCCAGCCCCTTAACCCATCTGCGACACGCCCTAGCCCCAACAACCCCACTCACCCCAACCTCTGCCGGATCTAAACCACCGTGAGTTTATCAGAATCCTGACACTAATAATCAACGTCGCCGGTGTACAGGATGAGAGGGATGAAGGTGGCGAACAACGATGGTGAAGAGGAGCAACGAGGAAGAATGTTAAGACACGGGTTCCATCCTATAAGGTTAACCTGATAGGAGGAGTAGCCCAGATCTTAATATAGTGTTTAATTTGACCTTTTAGGATGGAACTCGGGTCTTAACATGGTATTAGAGTCCAACCGATGCATGGTGCGGGCCCCCTTATGAAAATGATGGCACGATTATAAAAAAATGACAATGACGAACTGATGAAAAAATAAATGACGGCACGATCCGAATGAAGTGTCTGGTCGTGAGTCCCACACCAGATATTTGTGAAAGAATTAAACACTATATTAAGACCTGAGCTACTCCTCCTATTAGATTGACCTTTTAGCATGAAACTCGTGTCTTAACAAAAAAAGAAGAAGGTAATTCGTGAAGGAGCTTTGCTTGGAGTACACACTTTTTTGTGTACACACTTTTTACACATGTCTGTGTAAGGTGTTTTTTTGTCTGTACAGACAAAAAAAAACCTTACACAGACATGCGTAAAAAGTGAGTACACGAAAAGTGTGTACCTTTAGAATTTTTCTTCGCGAAGAAGAAATCGTCATCACCTTTGCTTGTTGTGTCATTCTTTGAAACAATAACTAATTAAAAAGGGATTAAAGAAATATTATGGATTCCAAGGTATATGAGGCCAAACTCCAAAGGTCAAATCCCCATTCTCAAAATCGTTTCGAAATCTCACCCTCTTACAAGTTCCATTCTTGTAAAAAGTCGCTCTAATCACACTTTCATATAACCCTAGTTGAACTATTTTCCGGCTGCCATTTTTATTCGTTTGTTGCTTAGCCGATTCGCCGTGGCGGAGAACGGGGGTACACAGCCAATGGAGAACAGCGATCAAATGCCGGCCGCTGTGGACAAAATCGGTACGAAGCGGCAGCGACGGCCTAGCGTCAGGCTGGGCGACATCGGTGGCAACCATACCTCTTATGAGCATCGAAGAGTTAAGCCGCAGTGGAAGGATTCGACCATCAAAGCCGCCTCCAAATCGCGGCATTTCACCAACTTTTCATGTAACGACGCGCAAACCCCAGATGATAACAATTCCGATGACAACACCGGTAGAAATTCGAACAAAAAGATTTCTGATAACATGGACAAGGATGAGGATCGGGATGATAATATAGATACTGGTGCAATAGCGGACTGGAATGTGAGGGATTTGAAATCTAAGAGTGGAGCAACAACTAAAAGAGTGAGGCCCAATTTTGTTTCAAACGCCGTTGAGGATGATATGTTAATGAGTGGTGGAAGGGAAGAGACCAAGAATCTTGATGAAATTTGCCCTGATTCCGGAACAGATGATTCAGAGCATACCCTGCCTCATCTGGTGGATAGCAATAAGAATAACAGCAGTGCTGGAGTGGGTGGTGATGGTAGACGAATCGATAATATGTCTGGCAGGAGGATGACTAGGGTTTCGGACGAGGGGCCAAGTGATAGAGAAGAGCCCCAGAACTGGAACTACTCTTCTGGTACAAATGCTGTGAACGTATGGTTGAACCAGTTAGGACTTGGGAGGTATTCCCCTTTGTTTGAAATTCATGAGGTTGACGATGATGTTTTGCCAAAGCTGACATTGGAGGATCTGAAGGATATGGGGATCAATGCAGTTGGTCCTCGGAGGAAAATGTACTGTGCCATTCAGAAACTGAACAAAGGGTTTTCTTGACTGCTTAGAAGGTACTATTTCCGAGGGCCATATTTTATGAGGCTTTATAGCTGCAGGTGATACCATACTAGCTGGGTCATTGATGAGATAGAGTTGAAGCCATGATTTACTTTAGTTGCTAGTCAATTAATTTTGCAAATGGGTTTTTAAAGGATTTGCAACGTTTTTTTTGTCTACTAATCAGTTTTTTAGTTTTTTACTTAGGCTCTAGTCTGAACTCTGAGTTGTTCCTTTCATTTCCCTGTGCAGTTTAGACTCCATCAAGGTGTCAAATGTACATATCATTTTTTCCAATGAAAAGTGTACTTGACTGGCACTCCACTTGGTGAACCTGATCTAAAATTCCAAGGATCATATGTGGCTGATCATTGATGAAGTTTCTGTTTGTTTTGTTCAAGCGGTCTTCATTTGCATTCAGGCTAGCAGCATTCTGGTTTCGTGATAAAATTAATTTTGCCTCATCATAATCTTGACTTTATGTCATCCTCAAGGACCACTGCATATAGTTCAGGATATGGGTTTTGCTGTCTGTTTCACCCATTGCAGTCAAAAGCGCATCAGGCACAAAGGTCTTATATGTTCATGTTACATTGCTTTGTAACCTTTCATCTAAGCAACCCATTTAGAAGTTTGTTTCAATTACACTTATCTTTTTGATGATTCAGCTTTATATCTTTATCCTATTTTTAAGGAGTGTTTGCGAAAAATTTAAAAATGCACTTTCCAGCTTTTGCCTTTAAAAAAGCTGAAATTGGTGTTATCAAGTGACAGTTTCTGCTTAAATTAATCACTTAAAAGCTAAAAGTTGGAAGAAGGTTGAGGGGTGGTTTAAACTATTTTTCACTTTTTCTATTACATAAAAAACATTTATGTTATCAAACACTACCAATTTTTACTTTTTTAGAATCACTTTTTTCTCAAACACTATCAACTTTTACTTTTTTTAGAACCACTTTTTTCTCAAACACTACCAACTTTTACTATTAAACCCTTTTTCCAAATTCACTTTACAAAATCACTTTTTTAAAGTAGAAGCAATCACAAACACTCCCTTATTTTGATGTCAACTAGTGAAATGAAATGAAAAATGTGTACGTCAGTCCACTCTATGTTGAGACTTGAGACATACCCTTTATAGCTTTGTTCCCTTTATACAATTCATGAGTTCAGCCGGCAGGTGTACCTCACTAGCTCAACTAGTTAATACAGAGTGATAAAATTGTAAAGCCGAGTTTAATTCTTAGTTGATAAGGAATGACAAAGTTGTAAAGCCAAGTTCAATTCTTAGTTGATAAGGAATGACAAAATTGTAATGCCATGTTCAACAAGGATGTTTTTCATTGGATTGGATTTTTCTTAGTCTGAGTTGGTGTGGACGTGTGGTTAATGTTTAGTCTCTATATTTTTATAATTGTAGAAGTTTGGTCTGGGGCTCAAATAAGTTCAAGTAAAAACATTCTAATTACTGACAACTATGTTAAGGAACAACTTTTCTGAACGTTTCTGTGTTGAATATTTCCTGGATGCTCCACTTTTTTATCAAACAAATTGTGACTATGTTTCGATGTAATCTTCACAGCAAATTGTATACTGTATAGCAGGTTTTTGGGACTCTCAGGAATGAGGCCCATCTTTTTTTATCAATGGCCTTTCTCATCATCACACATTTTGCACTGAAGTGTTATATTTTCAACGCCATCAAATATTCAAGTTAACTTCTTAAAAATCGCCAGTTCACCACTCTAAAAAACAAATGCGAGTGGAACTCGTATGGTGAGATAAAAATTTCACACCATTGTTGGATTTTTTTGGGCAAAAGGCAACTTAATTATTATTAATAAAGTGCAAAAACAAATTCGTTATCCCAAAGGCTACACTGGAATGAGACTTACGCCTAATTGCGGCTCAACTCACCAACCCTGCAATATGGTAGTCTCCATTAACAGTAATGTTGCATTAGCTACTAGAAAGGAAAGCATAAAAGACAAGAGTTCTGAGATAAAAAAAAGTTAAGAAGGACTAGATCTAGTTTTTCCAGTCACTAGCAAGGATACATCGGTTTGACCAACCCCTGCCAAAGGTTTCTCTCGTATGCTGCAAACTTCATCGATTATTGGCGGTGCTTTCCAGACAACACCGCCACTTGCAAGTTTTTTGGATTCTCTTCACCCACATCCATCATCTTTTTTGTCCCCTGATAAGGTATTGCTAGGTATCCACCATCTGTTGTCCGAATGTGTACCACCCCGTCTCATATCGGCCCGTAACCATAGCCCATAAGGTTTCTCACTAATCCATGGGTCACTATGCGGATTAGAGGGACAAAATCGGTCTGCATGACTAAGGCTCCACACAAGAAGCAGAAGTTCGAAAGTCTCTCACAGCGAAAATTTGCCCATATTCATTTATCATCATCTTGTCGAACTTGTAAGCGCCTAGTCAAAGCCATAAAGATATTGATAGTGACTCTAATACGCAGAATCAACCTTTGCTTTCCACCAATGGAGCTTTCATCCACTCGCACAAAAGATCCAATATTGTTGGCGATCTCTCAGGTTGCTCTTTCTGTCATGTACCCTAGCGGTAAGTTGGGCATCTAAACCCAGAAATCAGCATGATCCAATGGAACTTTGAGGGGTCTGTCAGTACAACCCGTGCGCCTAATTGCTATCAAATTTTGTTCGAAGGACCAAGACCCTTTCTTAACAACTCTGCTTAAATCTCCCTCTTGATAAAATTCAGGGGCGGAGTTAGAGGGGTGGCCATCCGGGTTACGGCCCGCCCCAAATTTGAAAATTCTTTGTATTTTCAGTCTAAAAATTTATGTGGAAAAAATTATCAGAAATATTCTTTGTACCGGCTCAGCCCAACCTTCAATCCTAGCTACGCCCCTGATAAAATTGTAGCAGGAATTTAGAATCATCGATCTCATCGATTGAAACTCCCCGAACTGGTCGTCAAACCACAGGCATTGTTTGCCGGAACGAAATAGCACGAGTGGGTTTATCCGGGACCACTCTGGCCACGACCCAAAGAGAGACTCCCTCAACCACCACATCAGCACTCCCTTCAGGTTCTACTGCGAGTACCAATCCCCTGTTCTCTTCCTCACCAATAGATATCATACTATAATTCTTGGTAATCATCTCCATAATAGGAGTTTTTGCCATTTTTTTTTATCCTCCGACTATTATGTAATTGACACTTTTGGTACTCGACTTTGACTTTTTCCACTTTTAATCCTCGACTATTGTGTTAGAGACACTTTTGATATCCGTCTTTGAAAAATTTCATAATTAGTCATACGACTTTCATAGAAGTGACACTTTTGATCCTTCAAAATTTATATTAGTGACACTTTTAGTCCTCCACTTATAGTGTCAAAATCATAGTGGAAGACTAAGGATGTTTTTACTTGGACCCTAGATAAGACCAGACCAGACTTGGATAGTTATAAAAAATACAAAGAAACCAGACCAGACCAGATCAGACCAGACCAGCAAATTACAGTCCAAGTAAAAACATCCTAAAAGTGTCAACTTAATAAAACTCGGGGATTAAATGTGGGTAACTTTGAACTCAAGGACTAAAAGTGTCTCCACCACAATAGTCGAGTATTAAAATGGAAAAATTAAAAATCGAGTACCAAAAGTGTAACCGACACAATAGTCGAGAGATACAAAATGGAAAAAACTCTCCATTATAGAAAATAGTGGAAAATAAAACACAAAACAACAACCTCAAACAAGAAGACACATACATAATCTTCAAACAAGAACACTAGCACACAAATCCAGACCCCTTAAGAAACAACGCCGACAGAACACCCCCCACCCCCCAAAGGAAATTAGCAATCCAAGTCTCGGCCACAGGAGCCGGATCAAAATTACACGGGACACAGCCACAATCACAGGGAAAATCAAAAGAAAAGTTGTCGAAATTTTAAGAAACGAAGGGAATATTATTTGCTATGTTAGGAGTATTATACATGTATTTAGTTTCATTTCCCCTACTTTTTGTGAACTTAAACTATGATATGAGATTTCAAATTGAGAAAATTGTCAAATAGGTCCATCTACTTTTAACAAAAAATCAATTGAGTCCATGTACTTTTTTCCGAATCAATTAAGTTCACCAACTATAAAAAAAGACCAAATAAGCTTTATAGTAGGTAATCAACCGGTTACCCGGTTAAATGCCTACATGGACGTCCGAGCTGGCATTTTTTACTGTTTTCCAATTTTTTTATTTTTGGGAAAACTGTCAAATAGGTCCACGTACTTTTAACAAAAAGTCAATTGACTCAATGTACTTTTTTCCGAGTCAATTAAGTCCACCGACTATATGAGATTGGAAAATTTCAAACTAAATGGCCATGTCTTTTACCCGTGCGATGCATGGGTTATGTAGAATAGAATAAAAATTTATTTGAAATTATATTTTATTACGATGATACATGATGTGTATTTTTATCAAATATAAAAAGATAAGAGAGTTTATATGTTGTAGCTTTGGTCATTACGGAACGGAGTATATAATAGTGCCTATATGAAAATAAATTTTGGCTCATACGAAAATTTGCAAGTAAAAATTAAAATAAATGATAAGATGTAACAATAAACTCTATGTGGCATTGGAATCAATAATAATATAATTAGAAGTAGGTCTCATAAACTATAAAACAAAAGAACCACACTACGTAAATGTTTATACTTTACAAAAAGTATCATATCATTTCAAAAACTTCTTTATAGACCACATTATTAATGATGTTAAAACACGTCCCTTGTCATCACATATAAGAATCTTCAACCATTTCTTGAAAGGAATTTGACTATTTGACTAGACTAATGATAACTTTGGAATCAAAATCCTTTGACCAATACTTTTCGATAACAGAACCAATTCACGGCACCTGAAAATTTTCATGTCTACAACCTCACATAAAGCACAAAGACCAACTTATTAGATAGTTTATAAAGAAATACAAAATAAATATGTATTTATATTGCTAAGGTGGATATAATTCTTTCATATATTAAAAACAAAATTAAAATAAAATATTGTATCCGCATCACTCAAAAAAATGAAGAACATTAATTTATTCATGCAATTGGTGTGGTTTCAATTTTTTTTGGCAAAATTGTTGTGGTTTCAATTAAGTTCTAACGATTTACTTTGAAAAACAGTGTGTAGTTTCAAGGATATTTAAATTCGGGTTGTAATCTAATTTCACAGTAAAATAGAATTATTCAAATTTGTATGAAAATAATAAATTCATTGGTATGTGTTTTGAAATTATAGTTAATAATGGTGTAGTTTAGGATGTTTTAAAACTGACTAAAATTTGATCATTTTTTTATAGTTGGTGGACTTAATTAGGGTTGGATTCGGTTCGGGCCACCCGGCCCGTGACCCGGCCCGGCCCGGTACTGTGCGGGCCCGGGACCGGCCCGGTACTGTGCGGGCCCGGGACCGGCCCGGTACTGTGCGGGCCCGGGACCGGCCCGGTCGAGCGGTCCGGGACCGGGTCTGGGCCCGAACCGGGGGGAAGGGGCGGGGGCGGGCTCGGTTCAGCATTTGTGTGACCCGGCCCGGCCGGGTCGGGCCCGGTTCCGGTTCAATTTATTTTTTTTTTTTTTTTAATTTGGGCTCCTACTAGTCGTTGGGGGTGGGGCTGGGGACAACCCAAACGGCTATATAGCCGTTGGGTGGGGTAAAGGGGGGGGTCCGGGGGGGTTGTGTGGTGGGGTGGGGTGGGGTGGGGGGGGTAAAAAAACCTATAAATACTCCTAATCTTAAACATTTTTTCATATCTCTTCTCCAATTCTTCCTAAATCCTATTCTTAACTCTCTACTCTCTAATTCTCTTATTCTCCATTCTCCAATATATTATATTTATTATTTATAGTTTATATTAATTATCTACTTATATAAACTATAAATAGATATAAATAGTATTATATTACTTATATTTGTTATCTAATTATATATTACTTATATATTTATTATATCTATTAATATAGTTGGAATTATATCTAATTAATTTGAAGTCATTCTATTACTCCCATCCGAAAGACCGAAAGTCCGAAAGAGGTACGAAATTATTCTATTATTTACACTTGTTTAATTAGTTTAAAAAATATGTTGTACACAAAACTAGTTAATTCACTACTTAATTTGCTATAACTCGAATTAATAGTTAGATAAATAGTTAATTAGTTTTTTACAATTTTTTATTAATTGCTACATTTGACTCTAGTTTAAAAATAATGTTGTACACAAAACTAGTTAATTCACTACTTAATTTGCTATAACTCGAATTAATAGTTAGATAAATAGTTAATTAGTTTTTTTACAATTTTTTATTAATTG